GGATTGTTGTTGGGGGCGATATGCTGACTCTGTAAACCGCTTAGAGAGGGCTGAAAGCCCTATGAAGCGGTATATAAGTCTAACTATTGCTATTATTAGCCCTATTTTTAAAAAAATCAAACTTTGATAAGGAAAGAGTTGTGATAACTGATTATGTGCCATCAAGTTGATATCAACTATTAATGATCAGATACATACATTTTTTTCTAGTGAAATATAATAGTTAAAAGTAATGTTAATCAGAATTACTGCTGACAGGAAAAGGGAGATGGAATTGCCTCCTCAGACGGAAAAAGTGCCAAGCCCAACACTATTTTTCACAATGTCTAACAAGATTCTTGGAGGCAGCCTGCAGTTCGAGACATGAGAATATTTAGAATCCTGTCCCCATTGTGTTTCTTAGCAACAGATGCTGAGAACTTTGCTGATTCTGCTAGTGAAGCCTTCACAGTAACTACTGATGCGAGTATGTTTCTGGTCTCTGAGTTGTTCTGTTCTCTAAAGGCAAGAAGTGTTTTCCCTACACCCATACAAAATGTGCATTGACAATTTTATTTTGAACTGTTGTGTCTCTACTCCAGATAAAGCAAGTGCAGGATGAAGAAAGGAAGCAATTAATTCAACTTAGGGATATTTTAAAATCCGCACTGCAGGTTGATCAGAAAGAGGTGAGCATATAAACCAATACAATGTGCAATTTACTGATTTATTGATCGTATGAAATTAATATATTTTACATTAGATTCAACGTGATTTGTTCAGATTTCTTAGAACATTTCTGCATGGCTTATTCCTTTGGTGCCCAAAGCCTTTCTGACTTGTTTTTAACGGGGGCAATGTCATACAGAATTGCAGGAGTTTAAACCTTATTTCGAGGAAGTTCAGTACATTGTTCTGTACGCATTGTTAATGGCTTTTGGAATTGCTCCCAGAATTCATTCAAACAAACACAAACAAGTGTCAAATCTCTCTGCCTTTTTCTGCAAAGATGCCACTGGATTCTTAAACTTATATGTCCTTATATTTAATCTTTAACTCCCAAACTCTTCCCATAATTTATTTCCGAACTATAAATTTTAAATACCGTATTTTTTGGAGTATAAGAAGGACCTTTTTCCCCAAAAAAAGAGGGTGAAAATTTGGGTGCGTCTTATACACTGAATACAGCATTTTTGGCCTCCTGGAACCCCGCCCCCTTCACAAAAATGGATGTGCAGAGGGTTTGGGAGGCCTGCAAAGTGCCTCCTGCGGGCTGGGGGGGGCAAAAATGAGCAAAAAGCCGGCCATTTTTGCTCCCGCAGCTCCTAGGAGCATTCTACAAGCCTCCCAAAGCCTATGCATGCCCTGTTTTTTGCAAAAAATGGACCCATTTTTATCGTTTTTGCCCCCCCCCCGCCCCCAGGAGCACTTTGCAGGCTGCTCAAACTCTCTGCATGCCCCGTTTTTCACAAAAAAATGAGGCGTGCAGAGCATTTGGGAGGCCTGCAGAGTACAAAAACTTTTTTTAAAAAATTACCTCTTCAAAATATTGGTGTGTCTTATACTCCGGTGCATCTTATAGTCCGAAAAATACGGTATGTGAAAGCATGGGGAAATTATTAAGTAGATGGTGAGCAATCATATCAACTGGCTAATTAAATTGGACATTCTAATACATGTAATTTTTGTCCTGGCCTTTTTTTTGTCCACTTCATACTCATACTCAAGAGCCGAGGTGGCGCAGTGGTTAAATGCAGCACTGCAGGCTACTGCTAGATCAGCAGTTCAGCGGTTCAAAT